CCCCAAAACCCCAAAACCCCAAAACCCCAAAACCCCAAAACCCCTTTTAAGCAAAATATTATTGGTATTTGATTTAAATCAAATTATCCAAAATGGGACTCTGGAGGATACTCATCTCCATATTCCGCATTATTATTTGGATTGTAACCTTCATCATATTGTTGGTTATAATTATTATAACTTGTAGGATCGACTTGTTGCACATAATTCAAAGCATTCTGTTGCTGAGCCATATCAGCCATCTGAGAGAACATTTTGTGGAAAAACTCATCAGGATTCTATAATATTTATACAAAAATCTTTACCATAGCAGGATTTTGGTACTGATTTTGATTGTTATAATTCCAATTAAGATTGTAGTACTGATCCCTCAGTCGTCTATTCTCTTTCATCTCTTTATACTGAGCTGCATTATCATAAAGCTGTTTATTATTATCCTCATAAAGTCTGAGGATATTGGACTTGAGCATTTGCCTCACAGGATCATCATCTTCAGATTCTATAAATGAATTTTCATTCTTACCTTCAGAGGAATCGCTATCATAGCTAACTTTTCTCGTTTTATCTATACCGGAGAACTTTACATAGACCTTCTGCTTAGTCCTTCCTCTTATTGAATGATCTACATCTCTATCAGGATTGTATTTCTCTTCCTCATATGAGGTTTTAAATTTGCTCGAGGCATAACGAGACTGTTCATTATAAGTTTCAGATAAATTGCTCTCTGAGCTGTCCTGGTTTAACTTATCAGGGACGCCTCCGGAAGCAACTGTAGTGTCTGAATCGGAGTTACGTCCTAATGAAGCTGATTCTCTACGTTTACAAGTGGAGATCTCCTTAAAGTCTGGGATTACGAAATCATTTTCGTCAAAATCGAATGGGAATTCAGAAGTCTTAGGTTTTAAACCTTTTCCCTCAATTTTGGAATTTTGCTTCACAGATTTGTTATGAAGGTACTTTTTCCAATATTTTTGGATAATAATAGTGCTTTTAAGTTGAGCAACTTCACTAGTATCCTCTTTGGTGTTTTCAACAACAGTTACAGGATGCAAATCTTTTTGCGGATTTTCTAATCTAGGTGATGCAACGGTATCTAAAATTGCATAAGAAAAAGAAATATCAAAAAGATTTAATCTATTTACCTTGTTTCTTATTCTTCTTGCTCTTCTTATTTTTCTTCTTTCTTGGCTTAGTCTTTGCATCATCTACTGCTTCAGCTGTCTTTGGCTCTTCTTGACTTTGAACTTTCTTTTTCCTATTCTTTTTACTTCTCTTTTTCTTGTTTTGCTTTGGAGCATTTTGCTTCTGTAAAGCATCAATTTTTGCCTGTTCTTCCTTCTCAATTTCTTCTTCTAGCTCCTTCTCGAACTGTTGGCTAAGTTCATACTTCTTTTGGGCAAAATACATAGAGGCTACTCTGTATTCAACCACTTTGGATAATTGAATTTCGAATTCTTTCCAGGTTTGAGGTTTGACGGATTTCAGCTCACTAAGAAGGAAGGTATACAAGTCAGGCCCATTCCTAAACAGGGACAAGTCTTTCTCACCTTCATTGAAGAAATTTTCGTTAACATTTTTTCAAAATTTTAAAATCTGATTGAGGAATTCTGGTTTAATGGTTAAAACATCTCCTTGGATATTTGGCTTGAGCTCATATACATGAAAATCTACTGAGTGGACTACGCTCTTTTCTAGCCTATGACCATCACTGGACTGACATTTTTCTCATTTACACCCCCAGTTTTGCTTCAGGAGGTCGATATTATCAGAATTGATATTCCAAAATATTTCGAGCGCGTTTAGGACCTGACATTCATCACCTTTATTCTGTCTGAGTAGGTTAGCTTCAGCCTCAGATTTCTTGGCCTCCTCATATTCCTGCAAGTTATTCTTATTCTGTTTCTTATCCTTACTCTTGACAATATCAAGGCAGAGGAAATATGTGTTCGTGTTGTGAATATAGTTGGCTAATTCTGATGAAAACAATGTCAATATATTAATTTTCTCACAACAGGCGAGTTTCTCCCAAAACTCTTCAATCTCTTCAAAGCTAAAGTTGATCTTCTCTGAGCGTAGAGCTAGCTTATTTAAGCTTCTTCTTGCTCTGAATAGCCTTTGGCTTAGAGTTATCTATACATAAAGATTAGATACAGCTGGGAATATAGAAAGCTTACTCTTTAAAAGAGATTTCAGGAACATTGCCTTTGAGGATAGTCAATCTAAGCTCATTTTAGCACTAGATGTGCTCTCTTCATGAGCCTCTGTTAAGATCTTGTCTTGCATTTTCTCCATCTTTGGAAATCAATAAATTCTATATAAGATCGGTGTAAAGGGGTTTTGGGGTTTTGGGGTTTTGGGGTTTTGGGG